CAGGAGGCTGGCGAGTTCATGGTGACGTTTCCCTATGGCTACCACTCTGGCTTCAACCACGGCTTCAACTGCGCAGAAGCCATCAACTTCGCCACCCCGCGATGGATCGATTATGGCAAAGTGGCGTCTCAGTGCAGCTGCGGGGAGGCCAGGGTCACCTTCTCCATGGACGCCTTCGTGCGAATCCTGCAGCCTGAGCGCTATGAGCTGTGGAAGCGCGGGCAGGACCGGGCTGTTGTGGACCACACGGAGCCCACCTCGCCAGACGAGGGGGAGCTCAGCGCCTGGGGGGGGGGGGGTCTGCCCGGAATCTCCACCCAGTTGGCAGACATGAGTTGTCATCATCGTCCTCAGGAACAGGAGGCTCAGGAGTCGACTGCCCATGCCTGGGCCAAGTCGCGCTGCATACTCCGGACCCGAGGCTAGTCCTGCCCCAGGACAATGCTGGGTATCAGACCCCTGCAACCTGCCATCGTTCTATGGGTTCCGCAGCTCAGAGTCCTTGAACGGACCTTGCTTCCTCCGGTCCCTCCCAGTCCTTCCTGGTTGCCTCAGATATGCCACCACTTGACACTGTTAACAATCGTTGGAGCTCTGGGCCAAGGTGGAGTTTGCAAAACGCTGTTATGTTTCTGGCAGAGCCCTCCCCAAATGCTGCTGAACTCTGGATCTCCTGCAGTAAATAGCATCAGTTCCTTGGTTTCATTTGCATCTCTGAGCTTGTGGTGGTTAAGAAGATTAGGTTTGGGGCGCCTGGGTGGCGCAGTCGGTTAAGCGTCCGACTTCAGCCAGGTCACGATCTCGCGGTCCGTGAGTTCGAGCCCCGCGTCAGGCTCTGGGCTGATGGCTCAGAGCCTGGAGCCTGTTTCCGATTCTGTGTCTCCCTCTCTCTCTGCCCCTCCCCCCGTTCATGCTCTGTCTCTCTCTGTCCCCCCCAAAAATAAAAAAACGTTGAAAAAAAAATTAAAAAAAAAAAAAAGAAGATTAGGTTTGGCATCAACCAGATTCAAATCCTAGCTCTGTCACTCACTAGAGGTTACGGGAACCTGAGCAGGTCAATGCACCCTTTCAGAGCTTCAGAGCCCTCCTCTGGAAAATGGGACACTGCACACTAGGCAGATTGTTGTGAGGACCTTATTAGCTAAGGTGTGAAACCATCTTTTTTTTTTTTTTTTTATTTTATGTAGGCTCTACGCCCAAGTTGGGGCTTGAACTCATCACCCTGACATCAAGAGTCAAATGCTCTACTGACTGAGCCAGCCAGGCACCCTGCATTAAACCATCTCTCTCTCTCTTTTTTTTAAGTGTATTTATTTATTTTGAGAGACAGAGTGTGAGTGGGGGAGGGGTAGAGAAAGAGGGAGGATCTCAAGCCAGCTTGGCCCAGACGGGGCTTGAACTCAAGAAACCATGAGATCATGACCTGAGCAGAAATCAGGAGGCAGTCGCTTAACCAACTGAGTCACCCAAGTGCCCCGCATTAAACCATCTTTTAACAGTGCCTACCATGAACTGCCCTATACTCAACCAACAGTAATTAACATTTTTATCTTGCTTGCCTCTTTAGGGGCCACCTGGGAATATGGGCTCTGCCTAATCTTCGGAAAAGTCTGGGTCAGAAGAGGAAAGATTTTACATGAGCACTCGCAGAATGAAAATAGAAGAGAAAGTCCAAAGGAGACTTATAATTACTTTTTGGGAAGGGAGCTGAAACTCAGACTAAAGACATTAAGAGGGGAGTCTGTAAGGTGCTAAGAGCGTGTGAGTGTGTGTGTGTGGGGGGGGGGGGGGTGCGTGTTGTTTCCTTCTGTTCTCCTGCAGCTGTAAGGAGTGAAGCCTTTGTTTTCCTGGAGCAGCAAGGAAATAGGGAGGTAGATTTTCTCTTTCTCCAGCGAGGCTTGGGGATAGAAGAAGGAGATAGGTGTGGCCATAAAGAGGCCGGGAAGATGGGCCCTAGTCCCCAGGATCCACGGTAGACAAGAAAGGAGACTTGGGGAAGCCTGCCTGGGCCTAGAGAGGTCTGGGGAACTCAGCTACAGCAAGGCTCGTTGCTACTGCTCATCAAATGCTGGCCAGGACATTCCGAGAGGGACTTGTTTCTCTATCCGGGACAACCGGAACCGTGGAGGGAGGTTCTGGTGCCTGGAAATGCCCATTGTAGGGAGCTGTGTGGGCTCTGCCTGCCTCCTCGCAGACCTTCTGATGGAAGATGTGCCTCAGGACAGTGGGTCATGTGACATCATGAGATTTGCTGCTGGCCAAGGAAGAACAGTCCGTCCTGTGGGTGGAGAAACCTGTAGTCATTGGGAGTTGTGTGGGACCTCTTGCAACACGTGAGACACAACTTGAAAAGATGAAAGTCACCGCAGCGAGGGCGCCAAGAAGTTAGAGCTGCTGGACGGGGATCCTCAGCCAGGCCGCTGTGAAATAGAGGCGCTGCGGTTAAGCCCTAGTTCTGGAGAGCGCCGAGCTTTCTCTCTGGCTTCTCCCCGCTGCTGGCCTCTCCTGCCCCTGTGCATCTCTGCACCTCGTGGCCTCTCCAGCCCTCCCCGATGGGGCCTGCTGCACAGTAGCGGCTGTAACCACCATCGAGCCAGATTTCCCGGGGCCCGGGCCACTCCCCACAGTGTCACTCGGCTGTGAGGCAATCTCCCGTGGCCTGACTCCAGAACGTTGGAGGCTTTCCTTTCTCACCTTCACAGAGCCAGTGACTGACTCCCCAGGGTGACTCCCGGGAGAGTCGGACTCTGCTTGTCTGCTACAAATGGCCTTCTGTCCTCAGTATGGGAAATTCTAGGAAGGCCGCCCATCTGGATGGTGATCGTGATTCCCTGTTGATTCTTCTTCCCCCCCTCCTCCCCTCTAGCTTCTTACTTTGAATGGTCAGGCAAAGAAACAATCATGCTGTTGACGTGGTTTTATGTTTTCCCTCTACCCACAGACTCGGTTCCTCGAAACGTCCGCCCTGCATGCTGATGCGCAAAGTTGATTCCGGGGCATGATATAGTTAGCAAAGCAAACCTTTCTGTGATCACTGTTTTTGCCTTTCCGGGCGCTGTTTCGCCCTTACTCAGAGACGAGAAGTGGACTTATGGGAGAATAGCATTTGAACCTGCGCTTTGCCACTTTCTAGTCGCAGCAAAAAATCGTTGATTTTCTCCGAGGCAAAATTACGGTGCAAGAGTTCTGGGCAGTGCTGTGGGGTGTCATTGTGACAGGCACGTAGGAGGTGCTCAGTTCATCTGGATGTGCCTCTCTGCACCCTAGCTGCCTCGAGGGCAAGCACGAGGCCAGGGACACGCTCTTGGATTCTCTCTTTCTACGCTGCTCAGTTCTACGACAGCCCTCATCACCACCCTCACGGGCTTCCCCGTGCCTTTTTCTTTGTAATTAATGGACTTTATTTGTTGGAGTAGTTCACAGCAAAATTAAGCAGAAAGTACAGGGACTCCCACATCCCCCTCCCCAGCCTCCGCCACCAGCATCCACACCTATGTGGTACAGTTGGTAGAGTTGATGACTCCACACTGACCCATCATTATCACCCAACGTCCCTAGTGACACGAGGGTTCATTCTTGCAGGTGTTCCTTCTGCGGGCCTGCCAAATGTATAAGGACACGTACCTACCCCTATAGTTCTGCGCAGAACGGGTTCGCCCTGACCCCTCCCAAACCCCGGGCAACCTCTGATCTTTGCACTGCCCTCATAGTTTCGCCATTTCCAGAATATCGTATAGTTGGCCTCATACAGCAGGTTGTCTTTTCAGATGGGCTGCTTTCACTTAGTGATATGCATTGAAGTTTCCTCCATGCCTCATGGCTTTAGAGCTCATTTCTTTTTATTGCTGAATAATATCCCATTGGATGAATATACCGTTGCCTATTTATCCTCTCTCCTATGGAAGGACATCTTGGCTGCTTCCGAGTTTCGGCAGTTATGAATACAACTACTATAAACCTTCAGGGGCAGGTTTGTGCGTAGATGGAAATTTTCAGTGCATTGGGGTAAATACCAAGGAGTGTGGTTTTGCTGTATCACATGGCAAAAGTATATTTAGTTTTGCAAGAAAATGCCCAACTGTGCCTCACCCATTATTTTTACTGGTAGAAAACTTATTTTTTTTTTTCTTCCTGATCTACCACATATTTGTACAAAAGGTCACATAGGCTTGTTTGCAAATTCCACTCCTGGTCGTGTTTGGCCTTGTTGTAATGTTACCAAGGCAAGGTCAAGATTTCATACAGAGTCAGGAACCAGAAGACCCAACCTTTATGCAGCCTCCTACACTGATTTGTTGAGTAATCGTTCAATAAATCCGCTCTTCCCTCTGGCCCTCCACTTCCCTGTTTGGGCAAACAGAGCCCTTAGCGCATCGCACCTGTTAGAGTTTGCACACAACGAGTTCAGACCAGGGCAAACATAACGTGTGCCAAATAAATATTAGCTATTATCATTATGACTTAAAAGCCAGAACTTGTGAGACGGTCATAAGAAACCGTACTTGACTGCTACTTGTAGAGGTTGGCGTTTGGGTCTCGGGACTCCTGTAAGAGTTATAATAAAATGTTCCAGTTAGGGATTCGGCTATCTGGCCACCCTGAATTATTCAGAACCATGACACCATTTCAGTTTCTGTGTGTGTGAGGAGTCCTTTCCAGATATTTAGAAAGAACTTCAGCGGGATAGTTATATCACTGGACTGTGGCTATCTATGGACTTGAAGTTGCTTCCCCCCCCCCATAAGTTTGTGTTACCTTTCGTCATTTTAAGTAGGAAACCACAAACAGTTGGAAGGAATTGGTGACAGAGATAAGCCGAAAGGAAACCGACCTGAGTCGAGCAGAACCCTGGTGAGGCTCAGCCCTTCAGTCCGCTGCCTTTCCCACCCCACACTGCACACCAGCCTGTCCCCCTGAAATTCCTCACACGCTCTTGTCCCTCAGTGCCCCTCACAGCGGGGTAATAGTGATGCCCTTCTCACGT